GAGAGAGAGAGAGAAAAATTAACGTCGTGGTTTAGAATAACATGTCTGCTTATGACAAATATTAATAATAATAATAATAATAATAATAATAATAATCATAATAATAATAATTTAATTAATATTTCCATAAATTTCTACGGTTTTAATTCATTGGGAGGCGGGGGGTGAGTGAATTTCGTGAACTCCCGCGAATAAATTTTTCAAATCACGTTAACAACAACAACAACAACAATAATAATAATAATAATAATAATAATAATAATAATAATAATAATAATAATAATAATAATAATAATAATAATAATAATAATAATAATAATAATAATGATTATAATAATAAACAATTACGGAAGACATTTTGTTTTTTTTGTAAATGATTTGGGATACCGCAAAATAAACCGCAAAATTTTCAAAAAAAAAAAAAAAATAAATAATTAACGAGGTATAATTCGTAAAACCAACAAGAGAGGAAAGATTTCAAAAAAAAAAAAAAATTGCAAACGTAACCTGACCTCTTAAAACAACAACAAACAACAATCAACAAACAAACAAACAATCCGTTAAGAATATTGCCATCTCATGACATTTTACACCTTCGTCGTCACGACCCCCAAACTTTTTTTTTGTTGTTATTTTTATTAAAAAATTTCCAAAATGAAATTAAAAATCAACGTCAACGTCACTCAAATTAAACGTCACGACGACCCAAAATAAGAGAGAGAGAAAATTAAATAATAATAAGGATACGTTTAACGCGATAAAACGCCTTAACATACACTCCATTTATACCCCCCCTTCCTGTTAATTACGTAATCAAACAAACCTTTTTCCCTCCCATTGTTATTATAAATTTTTCATAACAAAAAAAAAACCCGCGAATGATTTAAATGCATTAAAAACGAGTTTCTCCATCTTTTTTTTTTTTTTTACATCTCTATGCAATTTAAAAGTCAGCAAATTAATAGAAATGACGACGACGATAATAATAATAATAATGATGATGATGATGATGATAATAATAAAGAAATACAATATAAAACGCAATAAAATTAAAAAACATAAAACGGCGACGACGACGACGACGACAACAACAAAAATAATTTTTTTTAATGGCTTCCAACGAATCGTCACCCCCTCTCCCCCCCAATTTTTTTTTTGTTATAAACAATTTATTTAAACAATTATCACTCCCATAAAATTTATAATAAATTATTATTATTTATTACACGCGGAAATCAAATCAATCAATCGATAAATATTTACCGAAATTTTTTGTATTTATCCTCTCACCACCACCACCACCATCACCATCACCACGTTTTCCTCATCTAAAACAAGTAAACAAAAATGTCGACTGCTTAATAATTAAATAATAATACTAATAATAATAATAATAATAATCGATGGTTAAACAATTTTTTTTTTTTTCGTAATAATAAAATCAAATAAATTTAGATCAAGGTTATTATAATAATATCCAACAAACAAACAAACAAAAAAAAAATTTCAAATAATAATAATAATAATAAATCAATCATTATTATTATTATTATTAAATAACTTATTTCAAAACGACGATCGATACGTAATAATAATAATAATAATAATAATAGCAACTCTATTTAATTTCGACCGGAAATACCTTCTTTTTTTTTTTTTTTTTTAATTTTATTTGCGTCCGTTTGTTGTAAACGATGTTAAATATAGTAGACGTTTATTTTTTTTTTTTTACAACCCTTTTTAAAACCTTTTTTTTATAATAATAATGATAATATTTACTAAATTTTACTTTTACGTGTAAAATTTTTACGTAAATAATAATAATATTAAATTACACTGAGGTTATTTATACCGAAAATTGTTTTTTCGCGTGGATTTCATTTTTTTCCTTTTTTTTTTTTTGTTATTAATAAAATTTCATTAGAAAATAATAATAATAATGATGATGATGATGATGATGAAAACGTTTGAGTATTTGTAATCGTGACTAAATAAAAAAAAATATATATAAAATTACACAAATGTTGGTGAGAATTGGATGATGATGATGATGATGATGATGATGGAAATGAAATTTTTTTTTGCCCCCCCCCCAAAAAAAAAACCTACCGTACGAATATGTTCACATGGACTCGAATATATTCTAATTGTAATCCTTTCAAATTTTTTATTTTTCTTAAATCAAATCCGAGATATTCAAAACGAAATCACAAAAACAAAAATCACTTGAAAAACCCGCACATTTTCACATTAACAAAATAATAATAATAATAATAATAATAATAATAATAAAAACAAAACGAAAAAAAACTCGTTTCGTTAAAAAAAAAAATAAAATTGTATCCAAAAAAAATGTAGGTACGAGTAAAAAAAAAAAAAAAACGGTACGAAAACAAGGTTTTTTTTTTTTTTTTTTTTTTTTTTTTAGAAGGGAATCGTAGTAACGTATCGTATAGCGGACTCGTATAAATTTAATATTTAACTTTCAGTAGTAGTAATAATAATAATAATATTAATAGTAATAATAAAACAACCGACAACTACAACAACAACAAACGAACTAACTCCGTTTTCAAACACACACAAACGCACACACTGGATATACCTGTTTTGTTAGGCTCGAATACAGGTGCAAGGTGAGTCCGTCTCTCCACGCTCTCTAATTCGGTTATTAATAATTCAAATATAGATGTCGCTAGTGAGTTGTTGCGACGGGTATCGCGGTGTGTGACAATTTGCATAATCGCATCAAACAAGGCGTTTGTTTGTAAACAAAAAAAATTACAAACAAACAAATGGTTTCCGTTTTTTCAAAATATGGAACGATTTGGGGAGTGCGGGGGCGGATATATAGAAAATTTTATCGCGAGGAATTTGTACGTGAGATAAACACGTAAAAAAAAAAAGAGGGAAACGTTTAAGTAACCATATTTAATACTAATCCGAACAAAAACTAAATTAAGACACATTGAAATTTTGCCAATTACGAAAAAGAGGTAAAAAAAAAAAAAAAAAAAATCGATACAACGTGATGAAGGCAGCCGCCGAAGCTCCCGCTATTGCCATGGCAATGAGAAGATTTTGCGGCCGAGAGGAAAGGATCCAGTACCCGTAAATCGTTTCAACCTCCAGGGTAAAGATCCGGGATCGAATAAAATTTTTTTTACACAACAAAAAATAAATTACCGAAATAACCGTTGTTATTTTTTTTTTATTATTAAATAATTTACACGGCCATTTTGTATTATTCGTTTGATTTAAGTGCGTAACTTTTTTTTCGTTATAATTGGATAACGTAAAAATATATACACGTAAATAATAATAATAATAATAATTAAGGTAAACATATTTACGACCAAAATTTCATACGTATACGGGATATTAATATTTAAAAAAATATATATTTAATCTTAATAATAATAATAATAAATAATAAACTTATCGTTATAAATATTTACAAAATATATACATAATAATAATAATAATATTAATAATAATAGTTATATACAATTTTTGTTAACGAAAATTTCGTATTTTTCCCGTCGATACAGTGGATACCCACGTTTTTTTCATTTTTTTATTTTTTGGTACTTGTTGTTCGACGGTTTTTATAGATTTCTCGAATCTTCTACTCCCCGATTTTTTACTCAAATCGGGATACGGTCTATTTTCCGTTGTAGATGATTTCGGCTGATTTAAAACACCAGCGTGATGATTTATGTACTTGGAAAGAAACATTTCTTTCGCCCATTTTTCTCTTCTTTGTCTTAGTATTTCCTCACGGATTGTTTTTCTTAAAACGCAATCCGATTTTATTATTTTCAACCATTTGTTGCTTACTTTGCAAGCCGTTAGTAATGTTTTCGGATCTAATTTTCTACAATAAAAAATCAAAAATTGTTAATTCACACATTTCAAAAAACACAAATTGAATGAATGAGAAAACAATAAAATAAAACTTACCTTAATATCATGGATGCAATTTCGAGTGGAAGATTTCCGATTATATCGAAATTATCGTTCCACATATCGAAAAACATCGTGCTAACACCCATCGTGTAAAACAATGTTAAAAATGGTTCCATATTTTTTTCAAAAATCACTTTTTAAAATTATTATCACTAAATTTGAATAGTATGTTCACGATTCGTTAATAACCGTTAAACTGATTTAACAATGCTAAAATTATTATTATTTATACCTGTGGTCCCACCCCCCTCCCCTCAGGTAAAAAAAAATCCCACCCATTCCCTTTTTTAAAAATTTCACCCAAAACGAAGTGTATCCCCTCCCCCCACCACTCATAATAATAACAACGACAGAAAAAATTTATTTTATGTTTTTTTTTTAAATATTTAAATTTTGTTATAGAAATGTATTTAATTCGTGCGTGACGTATTATCATCATTATCATCATTATTATTTAAAATTTGATGTGATAATAATAATAATAATAATAATAATGGCCGTCGGATGTGCAAAAAGCATATTAATATCATTTAATTTAATTCTGTGGGTGAGTAGTAATGAGAATTGGTTTGCGAAAAGAAAACCAACTGGAATTACAAATTATTATTATTATTATTATTATAAAAAAATTTCCTGGATAACTTTAGCTCGCTGGAGGCACGCTCATAGTATTAGGAACGTGGATATTTGTGGATTCGTCAAAAATTCATCTTTTTCATTTTGTTACGTCCGATGATTTAAACACGGATTTCGGTTATTATCTCGCATATATATTATTATCATTAGGTGGATTCGTTTTGATATCTGGAATATTCGGTTGTTGCGGTGCCGTAAGAGAAAATCGTTGTTTGCTCGCAATCGTAAGTTTTTTTCATGTTTGTTTGTCTGTTTGTTTTTTTTTTTTGTATTCGCGAACGACATTTTTTTTTTGTTCTAGTATTTCACCTTATTATTCATTCTCACGTGCATTGAGTTATCCGTATCGATAGTTACGTACATATATAAAGATCATTTTCTATTGGGTTTGGAAGATAGGCTAACGTCGGGTTTGATAAAACATTACGGTTATAAAAATAGTAATGAAAAATATTTATCATTTTCCGAAGCCGTTGATTTCGCACAGTACAAGGTAACGATTAATTTTTTTTTGTCCCCCATCCCTCCCTCCCCGACCACACTAATTATTATTATTATTATTTTTTTTTTTCTCGATTTATGACAAATTCAATCAAAAAAACAGTTCAAATGCTGCGGAATTAAAAGTGATAACGATTATATAAAATCAAATTGGAGAAACGAAAGTAATATATCGGTGGAAAAAAGAAACGTTCCATTAACTTGTTGCATAACTCAAGATCCTGGAGAGGTAAACAATTTTCTTTTTTTCTCTATATTTTCACGAACCTTATTTTATTTATTTACTTATTTATTTAATTTGTTCGATAATTTGAAAAAGAAAAAAGAAAAACTTCTTATAAATTAATAATAATAATAATAATGATGATGATATTTTTTTTTTGGCACTGGAATTTAATTTTTTTTTTAGCACGAATAACCAATCACCTTGTTTACGTTTACAAGAAAAAAAAAAAACGTGTTTGATAAATGATAAAGGAATAAAAATACAATTTTATAAATAAATAAATAATAATAATAATAAACATAATTTGAATAAAGGAAAACCTTTCGATGTAGAATTGAAAACCCTCACTCAAACATCACAACAAAATTTTGTTTTACCTCAACAACAACAACAACAACCGCGCCCCACCTCACGATTTATTTATTTTTTATACGTTTATGCCCTCGATATCTCTCTCTCCCTCTCTCTTCATAATTTTCTTTTTTGATTTCTCTCTCTCTCTCTCTGTATTTTTATTTATTCTTTACTTCTTCAATTTCTCTCTTTCTCTCTCTTTTTCAATCACTCTGTTTCTCAATCTTTCATTTTCCTCATTCTCTCTCTTTTTTTTATTTTTAACTCTTTGCCGCTCTCTTTTCTTATTCCCTCACAATCCCTATTTTCCATTGTATCCTTTTCTCACCTTTTCTTTATCCTCTCATTTATATTTCTTTACTCTCTCTGTCTCTCTCTCTCTCTGAATTTTTATTTATTCCTTATTTCCTCTCTCTCTCTCTCTTTTTCAATCACTCTGTTCCTTTCCTTTCATTTTCCTAATTCTCTTTTTCTTTTACACTCATTCCTTCTCGTTTTCTTCTCCCTCACAATCCCTATTTTCCTTTGCATCCCTTTCTCACCTTTTCTTTCTTTACTACATTTTTCTTAACTCACTCTGTTTTTCTCCATTTTGATTTCTTTTACTCTCTCTCTCTCTCTCTCTCTATCTCTTTCTTTTACAATTTTTGCATACCAGTAGAAACGTCACGTCACAAAAATCTAAAAATTCAAATACTTTTAATTAATAACAATCATTGTTCTTTTTCTTCCTCATACATAATATCTCTCACTTAAACAAACACAAACACAAACAAACACACACGGGAAAGACATTTTTAATTATCGACGTAGTTATTGTTTTAGTACCACATTTTCTTTCTTATTATTTGTTCATGTTAATATTTTTTCATTCGACAAAGAGGAAACAAAACAAAAACAATCAGAAAAAAAACAAACAAACAAACAAACAACAAAAAACATTTTTTTTTTCATTTCAAGCCACGAATTTCTAATTCAGGGAGTCCAATAAGTGTAGTGACGAGAGTATTTTACGGAACAGTAAGTTTGTCAAAAGAAAAAAAATAAATATATTATCATCATTAAGTATAATTTTTTTTTTTTTTTTTTTATGTAAATATATATACGTAAACGTAAATGTGACTCCTCACAGCACATGACCCTCCCCCCGCCTCTGCCCTCTCCGCCGCCGGAAAACAAACAAAACTGAATTTTTTTTTTTAATTTATTACGAAAATAATTAATATAAAACACTTTATCTATTATGTATGAGGAATCACGTTTGTCGTGTATATATTTTTTTTATTTGTTTGTAGTTAGCAACAATCACACTAATAATAATAATAATAATGAAAACGCTTTTGCTGCCGCTGCTGTTGTTGTTGCATGAGCATGAATAAATTTATTAAAAATGGACGCCATCATTAAAAAAAAAAAAATTTTCAATCTAATTATTTAAAATCACGTTAAACGTCATTAATCTCATTATAATATTTCATTTAATTGTTTGTGCTTGTTTGTGCTTGTTTGTCCGACAAACGATATTTTACGTGTATAATAATAATAATATCCTATGCAAAATTTAAATCCCTAAAAATTTAACGTTTACAATACGGTTATAATATAAAAATAATAAAAACGATTATAAATTTCAAAAATTATAAAAAATGGAGGGAAAATGATACAAAAAAAGGTCATCGACCCATATATGAGTCATTTGTAAACAAACAAACAACGGTTGTTTGTTTTTTTCCACATTTAACACATCGAACTAATTCAAAAAAGAAAACGATTTCCAACAAAACGTTTTTTTTTATTTTTTTCGACGCCATTTTCTTTTTATTATTATTATTATTATTATTATTTATTAATCGAATTTTTTTTTTCGGGGGGGTATTAGGTAGAAGAACCCTGGCAAAATCCAAATGTTAAAGACGATTTATCCTGTCAAGATTCGAATGAAAAAATACACAAAACGGCACGAAACAAACAGGTACGTTTAAAAAAAAAAAACATTATAAATAATTTAATTTAAATTTTTTTTTTTATGTTTATGTTTTGTGTTTATGTTTTTTAGGGGTGCATAAGAGATATTGAAATATGGTTTAAAAAAGAAACGGCCATATTAATAACGGTCGGAATAAGTTCGGCTGCCTTACAGGTAAACCTTTTTTGTTAAAAGAAAACGAATCGAAATTTCTAGAAAAAAAATAATATTAACAAATAAAATAAAATTTACGACATAAATTTAAGCCGCCATCTTTAACCTTATTATAAACGATTATAGAAAAAAAAAACAAAACCAAACGTTATTTCCTGTTTAAAAAATAAATTCAAATATTTTCTCCCCATTCTCGACAATTCGTTTCCGGTTTTGATTTTTTCCTACGAGTGATCGAAACAAAATAATAATAATAATAATAATGTTTTATGTTTATTTCTAGCTCATCGGAATGTTTTTCTCGATATGCTTATGTCGAAATTTAAGCGACACCATATAGCATTCGGAAGATTTCGGTGGTGACACCGAAAATTCAACGGAATAATAAACTTTTTATTTCATTCACCGACAATAAATTTAATAAATAATAATAATAATAACAATAAAAAATTTTACACGAACATGGTGGTGAACATAAAAAAAAAACATTTTATATATGTGAGCGTGTTGTGCGTGTTTGTTACGTTATTAAAAATTTTTTATTAAATGTTGTACCAAAAACTCTAATATTTGTTTTATTTATATATACGAACGTTTATGTAAATAAGAAAAAAAATTTTATATTTACATAAAAGTTACCGAACGTAAATGTCTATTAATTTATTTATTGATGTTTTATTAAATAAATGTAAGAATATAGTAATTATGGCACGGAGCCATAAATGTTATGAATAATGTTTGTTTGTTTGTTTGTTATTGAAAAACGGATATTGGATTTAATCAAGTGGAAGTTTTTGGCACAAAATATATACATAAAAGTTCACGTGTACGATATAACGACATTTTACAAATTTGTATAAATATGTATAAAATAATAATAATATATATTAGTCAATAATTTAATAAAATATATAAATAATATTTACAAAATATATACATAATAATATTAATAATAATAATAGTTATATACAATTTTTCTTAACGAAAATTTCGTATTTTTCCCGTCGATACTGTGGATACCCACGTTTTTTTCATTTTTTTATTTTTTGGTACTTGTTGTTCGACGGTTTTTATAGATTTCTCGAATCTTCTACTCACCGATTTTTTACTCAAATCGGGATACGGTCTATTTTCCGTTGTAGATGATTTCGGCTGATTTAAAACACCAGCGTGATGATTTATGTACTTGGAAAGAAACATTTCTTTCGCCCATTTTTCTCTTCTCTGTCTTAGTATTTCCTCACGGATTGTTTTTCTCAAAACGCAATCCGATTTTATTATTTTCAACCATTTGTTGCTTACTTTGCAAGCCGTTAATAATGTTTTCGGATCTAATTTTCTACAATAAAAAATATTATTATTAATTCACACATTTCGAAAATCAAAACACACAAATTGAATGAATGACAAAACAATAAAATAAAACTTACCTTAATATCATGGATGCAATTTCGAGTGGAAGACTTCCGATTATATCGAAATTATCGTTCCACATATCGAAAAACATCGTGCTCACACCCATTGTGTAAAATAATGTTAAAAATGGTTCCATATTTTTTTCAAAAATCACTTTTTAAAATTATTATCACTAAATTCGATTAGTATGTTCACGATTCGTTAATAACCGTTAAACTGATTTAACAACGCTAAAATTATTATTATTTATACCTGTCGCCCCACCCCCCTCCCCTCAGGTAAAAAAAAAAAAATTTGGGAACCCGAAAATAAATCCCACCCCTTTCACAAAACATTGAATGGGGTGGGGGTAATTCAACCACCACCATGTTCATGATTATATTTTTTTTTGTCATTTCATCTTTTGAAAAATTTAAAAAAAAAAAAAAAAGAAAACTTTTATCAATTTCCATTTTTCTAAATGGTCGCCATTATAAAAATTCAAATTGAAAACGTTTGGAATAAAAAACAAAAACAAAAAAAAAAAAATAATAATAATAATAATAATAAACAAATATGTGGTTCGAGGAGGGAAATAACAACTAAAGGAACAAAAAAAATTGTAAGGGCGCGTCTTTGTCCTTTAATTTCATTTAACTCTGATTTCTATATACATATGTATAATTATAATTTTTTGAAATATTAACTATAATTTTTAAAAACTAAAAAAATGTCACAACAACTGCAACAACAACAACAACAACCGCAACAACAACAATCAAAGGGATATTCATTTGGTATGAGATTACCAGATAATATGAGGTCAAAATCTTCAACTCCGAGTCCGTTAGATTATTCAACATCTAGTTTTACAAGATTTGGCAAGGTAATCATTTTTTGTCAGACTGACTACTATTGATAACAATGTATGGAAAAAGTGTTTATGTGTGTTAAAACAATGACTTCATTATTATTATTATTATTATTACAGCTTTCATCACCGGCTTATACGATACAATCAAAAGGATCATTTACAGAAACTAAAACCTTAACTCCCGGACCTTTAGATTATCATCCAACGGATGAAAACAAAACAAAAAGTATAAAATCATATACTTTTGGCTATGGTAATCGTACACCATTCATTGTTAAAACGGATACACCACCACCAAACAAATACACAGTACCGACAACGATAGGAAACAACGTGAGATACATGTTTTTAATAAACCATATGTAAGAATAAATTTTATGCAAGGTTGTGAATTTATTAAACAGCAAAAATTAGGTTTTAGGTACCTGATAAAAAGAAAATAGGAAGAGCTTATTCGATGCAGGGAAGAAGGGAAACAGGATTGTTTAAATCATCGACACCAGGTCCTGGAGCATACGATACAGTTAGCATTGATGTGTATAAAAAAAAAGAACCAGCCATACCATTCACCGGACATAGACAACCCCCGTTTTTACCAAAGGATCCTCACATACCCGGACCAAGTCAATATAATACACTTAATTGTAATATTGATAGAATAAAAGGTAAATGTGCACCAAGAGCACCATTTGGTATTAGACATTCTCCAAAAAAATTTACTGTTTTTACTCAAGCTGACATCATGTATTGATTCTATGTTATAGTTATCATTATTATATATGTTACTGGCACCTTAGACATATTTAAATAAGTTTAACTATATATTTATAATTTATGTCTAATAATGTGAATGAGTTATACTTGAGTAATTTATATGATCATTTATAATATATACATATATATGCTTGTAAAATAAAAGATTGTAGTAAAATAAAAATAAAATAAAGTAACAGAACATGAATTTGTACCTCCTTTCTTTTCCCCTATTGTGTTAAACTTATGTGATCATCTTACTTACATTTGTTGAATTCTTATTCCTCCATGGTGTCATGAATAATTTTAAGGTATCCAATAAGTATGATGTATTTGTAACCAAATTATATCCACTTAAGGTGAAATTCACACAAATTATTTCACATTGAAACACAAAAAACTCACAGCACTCACTGAAACACTAACTTGCCACCATATTAGGGTTAAAATTATCATCACGTTGAAAATAACTATGATATATTTATATAAAACTATAAATAAATAGAAATACATTAATAATTTAATAAAACATAATATTAAATTCACTTAAAACCACCTAAATCACAAAATAAAATAATAAAACACAATAATCGCGTCAAGTAATGTTAACCGCGACGACATGTTTAAAATGCTGCGTTGCCGACATGTTCTTGGCGGTTATTACTACGTTAGTTAAAAGAAAAAAAGTAAAAATTTTTTTTTGGGATTTTTATTAAATTAAAAAAAAAAATAAACTAGAATAGAAATTTAAATTAATTTTTTATTAAATAAAAGTTTTATACATTTTAAATCGAATAATTGTTTTATTTTTAATAATATTTCAATAAATATTTTGTCTTGTTTATATCTTTGCATTGACTAAAGCAGTATACGAATTTTATTTTGATAATTTTTGAATTGTTCTATAACGGTTTTATCTTTTTTCAGAGAAAAAAAAAATATTCTGCGACGGTTATTATTAGTATTTTATAAAATTAGAGGATAATTTGTTTAAAATATTAAATACGAAGGGGAAACAAAACTTTATGAAGGATATAATGGAAATTATTAAGCCTGAAATACATTTTGGGGTAAATTACATTATTTGGTATGAAAATTTCTCTCTTGATTGCCTATATAAAATTTAAACAATAATTAATTTTTAAAATTTCTTCACATACACAAATGGATAACCTATACAAATTAGTTTGTCTTGAAATCATTTAATTTCTTAATAAAAATTATTTAATAAAGATAAGAATATAAATTTCAAAAAAATAAATAAATAAATTTAATTGATTACTCAATTAATTTACTTTTTTATAAATAAAATTTCAAGGAGAAAATATAAAGAAATATAAAATGCATTTAAAAAAATTTTGTTTTTTCCATACTCGCACAAACTTCTCCAGGAAAGAGATAGAGAGAGAGAGAGAAATTAAATTAAACAAAAAAAAAACAGGTTTGTCTTACAACTCACTAAGTGTCTAATATATAAAAACAACAACAAATTGACAATTTTATTTAATTTTATCATCATCATTGATGCTTTTATTTCAGACCACATATCATGAAAATAAGTTTATGTTTTGTTATATATAAAATTTAATTAAAATTGTTTAAAATAATTCCAACAGTGATTTTAATTATTTTACAAATTGTTTTGGATAATATAAATATATATAAAGAATGACCATTAACATTATTTTACATCAGTTAACTTGTTTGTTTGTTTGTTTGTTTGTTTCTCTAACTGATAATAATCAAGAATAAAACAGACACCAACACACACACACACATAAACAAAAGGATACAAACATAAAATCAGGTAATTATTATTATTATTATTTTAACTTTGTGTATGAGTTTAATTTTCATTGAACAGAATAATGTTTTATTATTATTATTATTATTATTATTATTATTTTAGACAAAATTTTATGTGAAACAAATACCTGAAAGTAAAAGAAATTCAATTTGGTATCAAAAATTAAAAAAATAAAAAAATTATTTAATACTTTGCCATATATAAACAAATGAATGTTATTAATCTAAAGTAGCAGACGACGTTTTTAAACCGTTGATAACTAAAAATAAATATTTAAAAAAAAACCGTTGGTCGTTTGACGTTTAATAATAATAATAATAATAATAAATTTAAATGTGAAATACCGTAATTATGACAAAACAAGGTGAAATTATTAAAAGACATAATAATTAATTTATTAATAATTTATACAATTTATTAATAAATAAAATTTACCTGTATATATTAATAAAACCTTGAATGTACCGGGAAGAACCTGAAACCTGTAAAAAAAAAAATGATACCCACGTGACTAAATTTTTTTTTTTAATTTCAAGAGGGTAAAAGAAAATAATTTCTTTCTTTATCATTTTTTAAAAATTAATTTCTATTCAAATTTAAATCTTATTTACTTATTTATTATTATTATTATTATTCATGATTACAAGAGATGTAAATTTCGTTAAAATAATAATAATAATAATAATAATAATAATAATAATAATAATTAATAATAATAATAATTCAGGAAATCGCACTATGTGCGACGGCCCACTTTTCTTCGGAAAATATTACAAATTAATGGCACCAACGAAATTTGAAAATTTATCCCTAAGGAATCGTCGGGTAGAAACCTGGGATAAATTCTTAAAAACATTCCGACAAATAAGAGCCTTGTCGTGTTTAACCATAATAATAATAATAATAATAAAAGGGAAAACAAAACTTAATCAAAATGGCGGATAATATGAATTTTCATTTTTTTTTTAAATTATTAGTTAAAAACTTTATATTACGGTAATATTATTATTATTTCGTATTTTATTTAAATTATTATTATTATTATTATTTAGGATTAAAGAAGATTAAACAGGTTTTGATTTAAAAATAAAAATAAAAAAAAAAAAACACGTGAAATTAAATGCAATAGGTCAAGATCAACGAAAGAAGAAGAAGAAGAAACAGAAAAACCCAAAAACGACATTAAAAAAAAAAATTTAAATTTAAATTTAAATTTAAATTAAAAAAAAAAAAAAAATTAAAAATTCAGTCGGTTGTATTTGTTTGTATCGAATTGTTGTTAAACATTTTTTATACATAAAAATTTTTTGTTGTTTGTTTGTTTTATAACGCGAACGATTATTAATTAATTATTTTCCTTATTGAAAAAAAAAAATTAAACGGAAACGTATTTAATTACTATTATTATTATTATTATTAAAGAAACAAACGGGCGACATCTCTTCAAGTGTTTGTTCTTAAATTGTTTTTTTTTTTTTTTTTTAACGCAAACAAACAACAAAAACGCGAAAAACAAACGAGGGGAAGTGTGTGCGTGTGCGTCTCGAAAAAATTTTATTTAACGAAATAAAAAATTATTAAACGATAATAATAATAATAATAATAATAATTGTTTAATTTTTCCGCGTCTTTTATTAAAAAAAAACAAACAAAATTTTCCGACCGCACCTTAAAAACAAAAAATTTATTAATTAATTTGTATAACGGGACAAAATTATTATTATTATTCATTCATTCATTCATACGTCATATTAAAGTATAAACAAAATGGCGGGAATTATTATTAATTAATTAATTAATTAATTAAAAAAGTAATAATTTATAAGAAGAAGGAGGAGAAAAGGAGGAGGAGGAGGAGGAAGTGGAAAAGGGGCGGAGGTGGAGAGTGTAACGTTTTTTTTTTTAAATTAAATTTTTGATATTAATAATGATGAAAAATTATTAATATTATTATTATTATCACGTTAATAAAATTAATTATTAAATGGTGAGATTATGATTGTGGTAATTATCAAATAAAAATGTCTGCCGTTTGTTTTTTAAATAATTTATTGTTTGTTGTTGTTGTTACAGGAATGGGAATGGGATTAAAAAAATTATATTCGATATTAATGGCTGCCGTTTTATTGACGACATTTTTATGTTTGGCAAATTCGTCAATATTACCAACGGAATCAAATCAATTTGGTATATGCATAAGAAATTGTGCACAATGTAAAAAAATGTTTGGAACCTATTTCGAGGGTCAATTATGTGCTGATGCATGTGTTAAATTCAAAGGAAAAGTCATACCCGATTGCGAAGATTTAGATTCGATATCGCCATTTTTAAATAAAGTCGATTAAATTTATTGTTATTATTAATAATGATAATATTATTCCTTTTAAAATATGAAAGCGTTTTGCTTTTTTTTTTTTTATGTTAAATTATTATTATTATTATTTTATTAAATAAAAAAAACTTGAATTTGTTTATAAGTTTAATTTAATAAATTTGAATTTTTTCGCTTTCGCGCGTTTTTCCATTTTTTTTTTTTTTAATTTTTAATTATTATTTATTGTTTATATTTATTTGTTTAAAAAAAGCTTTTTTTTTTAAATATAATTTTATAATAGCGACGATTGTTGTTTGTTTGTTTGTTTATTTTCCTCCACATTCTCATCATTATAAAAAATTTCAAAAGAAAATGGCGGATTTGACCGTTTTTCCTTTCCTGTACGAATATGAAAAAATTTAACAACAACGAAATGGCGGAAGAAATAACGAAAAAAGGGGAAAATTATGACGTAACGACGTAAATTTATGACGTGAATGACGTAAATTTTGTTTTAATAATTAATTAATAAGATTTTATTAATATTTAATTATTTACTTCCGCGTATTTAAAAAAAAAAAAATGATTTTCTTTTCCTGTCGTTTGATTAAAATAATTTTTTTTTTTTAAATTAAAAAAATGGCGATTTATCGCGTTTTTAAAACAAAATAATTTATAAAAATAAATAAATAAATAATAATAATAATCGTAGAGAGAGAGCGAGAGAGAAAGAGAGAAAATAAATAGTTTTTAAAAAATAATTTATTTTTAAAATATTTACATTCTTTCAAAAAAAAAAAAAAAAAAAAATTTCCGTATTTCATTTTTTTTTAGTTTTATTTTAAAAAAAAAAAACCTTTAATTCATTTCCAATCAATCAATCAATCAATCATTCAATTAAATAATTAATTAATTAATTAATCGATTAATTGATAACTACTTAAAACATACTTGAAAAAAACGTTAGATTCAAAAAAAAAAAAAAAAACATTTAAATAAAAATAAAAATAATAATAATAATAATAATAATAATAAAAACTATGAATTTATCAAAACTCATTTCGCACACGCCACGAATATTTAAAAAATCAAAAAGTTAGTTCCACGTCTTTTTTTTTTACTTTTTTTGTCTTCGAACCCGATAAAATTTTATAATTTTTTAAATATTATTTCTTATTAAATTTTAAAAATTACAATCAAAAATTAATAATAATAATAATGATAAAAATGATGACGTAACGTGAGCAATGAGTTCCGACGGTTAAAGAAAAAAAACATTCTAGAGCCACGTTAAAAAGTAGAAAAAAAAAAAAAAAAACAAAAAAAATATGAAAAAGTTTAAGAAACGATCGTAAAGTAAAAAAAAAAAAAAAAAAAAAAAACAAATAAAAAAAAATTTTTGTCGGGGCCCCTTCGTTTTTTCTTTACCCGATAAAATAAAATTAAAATTACAAAGAAAAAGAATTAAAATTAAAATTTATTTAAAATAATAAAATTATTAATTATATTTAAAATAAAATAAAATAAAAATAAAAAAATTATGGCAGTTTTTTTTTTATTTTCTTATTGTTATCCATTATAACGTTTAAAAAAAGAGGGGAATAAATAAAAAAAAATTATCGATATTAATACGTACTTTTTATTGATGTCATCTCATTCTAATCCCACGTTCCTTTTTCATTTTTCCTTTTTTCCCTTTTTCTTTTCTTAAACGTTATAAAATCTCAGAGTATTTCTTAATCACATTTTCGGGTAACTCCATCTTTTTTTTTTTTTTTTTTTTTTTAACACAAAATGGCGATAATAAAAATTATTAATAATAATAATGATAATGATATTTACATAAACGCGACCGTTTTTTTTTTTTAAATTATTCGTGAGCAAAAAAAAAATCAAAACGCCGCGTAAATTAATAATAATGATAATTTGTTCGTTAAATAACCAAAACACTGCCAATAAAAAAAATCAAAAAAAAATTAACAAAAAAAAAAAAAAATTTTTTTTTCTTTAACAAATCACCGGAAACGATTTTAAAAAAAAAAACAAATTACTCTTTACTAATATACGTGTATACATAAAAGCAGAAGACAAATAAATGAAACAGGTTTGCCAAAACACGAAAACAAATAATAATCGAAATATGATGCGCGAGCAATTCGCGCGCGGTTTTTTTTTTTTTGAATTTATTTTGTCGTTATTTTAAAAATTTTTTTGTCGTTTGTTTGTTTGTTCTTTTGTTTGTTTAATGACCGATATAGAAATAATAATAATAATTTTATTGTATTTTGTTTTAAAAGAAAATCGTTTCATTTATTTTTTAACTCCGAATAATGGCGCCGACGTTTTCGCATTCCCGTGAAAAGTTCTACTCGCACCAGCTGTTCCTTCTGCCGTCGTTCTTTTAAACAATCCCACGGGATGTACGAGTGGTGCTATTATCGATTGTGGAATGTCAACGAGAAGTTCGTTATGTACCTACAAATAAAAAGTCAAAATATAATAATAATGATGATGATTAAATCATGACGAAAAAGGGGGCGATACTGACGAATGTGTGAGGTGCTGCTGCTCCTACTGCCCCACCAAAATCCGCCCATTTTGTTAAATCTAAACTTGGAATTATTCCACTCTTGCATGGCACTCTTGGATTACTACAAACAAACAAACAAACAAAAAATCAATAAAATCAATACACAATCGATACACAATTGATAAAATCGATAATTATTACATTTCGTGATCTGGAAGAACCATCGGATACAATTGTATGGTATCGATAAGATCCGTGTTGTCGCAAATAACTCTGGATAATTTGACTTTTCTGATTTCTTGCAATTGTTCTGGAGAAAGAGAAAGAGAGAGAGAGAGAGAAAATCATTATCGTGTCAAGTTGGTCGTGCGAGAGAGAGAGAGAGAGAGAGAGCGAAATAAAATTTTTTTTACCTGGCGTAAATGATGAGGGTTGATCTCCTAATTCGTACCAAAATCTGTCTCCCCGTCTGGAATAACTAAATTGTGTGGCTATGATGCAACCGAATGTCGGTCCGACCATACTTCCAGGCAATGGCCTTTCGGAAACACCACCGGACCATAAATCGACGTCGGACGGATGTCTGGAAACGAAATAAAAATCATCATTATTATTTTTTTTTCTGGGAAATTTCCGGGAGAGGAGGGAGAAATGACTCACTCGTAAATGGATGAATATCTTCTGATTGTTTCGTTTGACATGGAACCGAAAAGTTCATCGAAAGTGTCTGCTCCGGGTAATCCGCAGAATTTTCTAGAAAAAAAAAAAAAAAATAAATATATACTTTTTTCTCTTACTCTTCCTTCCTTCCCCACTCTCTCTCTCTCTCTCTCTTTCTCTCACCTAAATTCCATGTAACCTGGCAAACCGAATTCACGTCCTCTTTGCATGTTGAAAGAAGCCAAATCCAAACCGAATCGTGCTCCAGCTTTTTTAAACAAATGATTCGTCACCTCTTGAGTGACGGAATCGTCCATGGCTTGAGCAACCTGATTCATCAAACCCATGAAATATTCGTCGAGGACTCCGGCACGGTACAAATCGTAGGGTCTCCTGATAAGGTTCGATAATCTCTTCGAAGCTACATCGTAATATTATTAATTTTAAAGTTATTGCCATTTGCAATAAAAAAAAAGCATAACTCCCCCCCCCCCCACAAGCAACCCTTTTTGTAAGGGGTTAACTCACCGATGAATTTGTGTGCTTTGCTCCATCTTTCTACGGCCGTGGGAAGTAACGAATGTCCGAATCTAAATGCGGCAGCAGCGAACGCGTCGATGACGTTTGGATTAACGTTCGGATCGTAACCGTCCCAGTAACCCTATTGGAATAAGAGAAAAAACGTTAGCGTGAAAATTTCTTTTGTTTGCCTCCCCCCTCCCCTACCCCCGTATGGGATACGAACTTCTTTTTGAGTCAAAAGTCCAAATTTTTCCATGACTTCTTTACCCAATATGATGGGCAAAAATTCATTGTACGTTATGTGTTGTATTTCGGCAATGACGATTCTACGAGCTTCCTGATACAATGTTTCGTCGTCCCAGTGCGGATTTATTTGTGCCAATCCGTGTGCCAATCTGTTGTGTTCACGTGCCATCAACGTGTGCATACACGTGAGTACCAATTGTTCGTTAACACGGATTTCACCTACAAAAAAAAATGTTTTTGTCTTATTCCCCGTTTTCTTTTCCGCCACCATTGAACTCGAAAGGAAAATGATGGAAAACACAAACCGGCTTCGAAACAATACATTGACCGATTCGGTCTAGTACAACCCTCGTCTGGAATGTCCAATTTCAGGGGTAAAAGATCTTTCAAACCGTATTCCGAAAAAACTGGATTCATACGTAACAAACCACCGTATCCGGCTCTCAATTTCCTGTTAAAAAAAAAAAAAAAAAAAAAACAAATAAAACGATTATTATTATTATTATTATTATCGTGATAAAAGTCTCTTCTGCTCCTTCCTGTAGATTTTTCCTTGAAAAGAAAACAATCACATCCGGTTCCGGCATGTGTTCAATTGTTTACAGTCTTTCGACACAATTTACAATGTTGCCAAAAATGGCCGTTTTCCGCTGTGAGAAAATTTTTTTTTTGACAAAATGCAACACTGTTAACGTACCCCAATAACTTTAAATTATTTCAAATAACAAAATAATTTTTTTTTCTGCGAAATAAAAAAACGGGCAAACCAAATCAGGACCGTAACCTTCAATAAAAATAATAATAAATTAATAAATTATTAGTTTTTTTTTTTTTCATTAATTTAACGAGAGAAAAAACCTACAAAATGTGCAAAAATGGATCGATCAAGATAGGAGAGAGGCGTTAATAAAACGTTGCACAAGAATACAAAAAAAAGAAAAAAACTAATCCCACGTCGAAAAATAACAATTTTTTTTATTTTTTTAATTAATTGATAATTCGAATGTCTTTTACAACTATTGCCAACTTTTGAAAAAAAAGAAGAAAATTTTCATTTAATTAAAGAAAATGTTTTGTTTGCGACAACAAAATGGCGTCGGCCGACGGCAGCGTTTAGTTAATATTTCAGACACGGGATGGCGCTAATAATTTAAATAATTTTCCACTTTTCAGTTTGTTTTGAAAACAAACACGAAACCGTTTATAAAATAATCAAATTAACGACGACAACAACAACAACAACAACAACAACCGGAAGCATAAATAACAAACATTAAAGAAAAAAATAAAAAAAAATTTCATTAGGTGTGGCCAACTTTTAATAAGAATTAATGACAAATAAATGGGCAGGGCTGCCAACCGTTTTTTTTATTATTATTTTTATTATAATTAATATTATTAATTTTATTCGCGTCGATTGAGAAATAATCGAGGGGGAAGGGCGAGCGGGGGGCGGGAGGGAAACAAACTGGAAAAATTCTTATCGACTTTGTGATAAATTCAAACGGAAATGACTTTAAAAAAATTTTTGGAGAAAAGGAAAAATTAATAAAAAAAAAAAAAAAAGAAACTTTCGTGTGTGTTCGTGGGTCTAATGTCACGTCCATTATGGAATTTTTTTGTTTTTTTTTGTTTAACGCACCCGTTCCAAATTTGTCCATGACAACCGTTTGTCCAGTTTGTTTTTTAAAAGAAAGTTTTTTTTTTTTTTTAAAAGCGGATTTCAAAAATTTTTTTTATTTTCTATTCCGTTCAAGGTAAACCGCGTGCATCGTCGATTTTGTTTTGTTTGTTATAAAAAATATTTCCTGCAACAACTTGTCACCTTTTAGGTTACAAACTATGACACCTGATACCACGCACGCACACGTTTTCGACTTGTTGCCTTTTCCCTTTTGTTCATTTCATCTCGTCTCATAATTCACCCACTCGCTCAAAAAATTTGTTTTTTGCTTTTTTTTTTTTGGTTTTTTTCCTTTCGTCACGTGTCACCAGAAAAATTAATTCGTTTCCGAATACAAACACACACACAAAATGAATTACACATTAAATTACGTTGGCAAATACCACGATGAAAAACGTGAAGCGAAATCAAAATTAATAACACAATTAAAGTGAAATTTACATTTTGCAAAAAAAAAAATTTTTTTAATAAATCGTGGAAGAAGAAAACATAAAAATTAATTAAATAAATTATTATTATTATTATTCTTACCTTGCAAAATGTTCCGTGACACCATATACGGTATTTCCATCCAGGACTCCGGTCAATGTGTTGAATTGAGTTCTGGAACCTTTGGAAAAAAAAAAAAAAATTTATAATTAAATATGAGGGATAATTTCGAAAGGAGGATGAATGATTTTCCTTTTTTCATCGTGTCATTAGAAAAAAAACCTTACCGAGTCTGCAGCCCGGTCGAACGGCAACGAAACCACGTACGAAATCCTGACACGTCATACCGGTGTGACCGTAGAAATAATCATCTGAAGGTATGGTTATTTCCAAACAATATGGATTTTTCAAATGTGGCGGACGGTGACAACATTCTTCTGGTTCGTTTCTGTTAAGAGGATCTGAAATCAAAAAAAAAAAAAAAAAATCGTTACGTCACACTTGTCCAAAGAGCCCCCTTCATCCCCCCTCCCCCTCCCCGCGATACATCGAGAGCAATTCGTTTGCCTCGAGCCTTCGTTCGCATCCATAAAACAAGTCGAACAACTTCCGTTTTGTTTCTTCAACATTGCAGAAAGAGAGAGTCGGGGATTCGGCGGGGGGGGCGAAAGGGGGGTCGGGGGGACATGTCCGAATATCCGCAAGTGACTAAATTAGGAACGCGGAATGTCGCGTACATAAAAAAAAAACGTTACATGAAAATTCAAAAATTAACTTTCTAATTAAAATTTTACTTTTTTTTTTAAATTCAGGACAAATAATATCCCGTCGAAAAATTATTCTAATAACAAATAATCATAATAATAATAATAATTATAACAACAAGAAAAAAAAAAGTGTCATTAGACAAATATTTTTCAAACGAAAGAATAACAAACAAAAAAAATTAGGTAATGTAAATAATAATAATAATAAAAATTATGTCATCAAAGTGACGATTGAAAAAAAAAAAATTATAATAATGATAATAATTTATTCTATTGACACGTCCTTCGAAAAAAAAATAAAATAGGAAGGTAGAGAGTGAGTGAGAGTGAGTGAGAGAGAGAGAGAGAGAGGAAATAACGTGCCAAAAATTACGAATATTTTTTTTTTTTTTTTTGTGACTCGCGTTTTACACATTGTTATCGTTTATTGGGGGGCGGGGGGGCCAAACGTGATGACGTGACACTTTCTAATTTTTTTTTGACGTAATAAATTCAGTTCGATTTTTTTTTTTTTCGTTTTTTGGTCTCTCCCATCTTTTTTTTTTTCTTTCAATTTTTAAAAATTTTGGCACGATAAAAAAAAAATGAAAAGTTTCAATGATGATGATGATGATGATGATGACTTTCACAACCGAATTTGACAATGACCCAATATATGCGAAAGTGTGTCCAACAAAACAAAACGAAAAAAATGGGGTTAAAAAGGTGGCACTAGACGCGTGACGTGTATTATTATTATGACGTCATTTTTAAACTCACCCAATGGAGTTGCCGTCAAAGTATAATCGTGATCCATGAATTGTCCCCATGCGACGATCATGACGGTACCTGCGTGATCGTGGAAACCTTCGTCCGGATGAACAGTTCGAGATACGATTCTAGCAAGGGGTAATTGATTACCCAAAACGCTTATTCTCGGAGCCGTCATACCGTCGGCATACAAAGGACCCACCAACCTGTTTGACAAATTCAAAAAAAAAAAGGTTAATCGCATAAACAATCATCATTATCATCGCCGTCTTCCCCGTCGGATGTTTACCTTGTGAATGGCGTGTTTATGGCACCCCAAGTCGGATGTTGCAAATTCGTACACAAACCATCGTATCTCCTGTATTTTCCAGGACGGCATTCAACGTTCGATAAATATGGCGGACATACTTCTCTTATGAGAGTTTTTGACGTATCGATGAGAGGTAAACCTTTTTCGATTTCTTCGTAACTGAGACCGTAACTGAAAATAAAAATTAAAAAAAAAAAAAATTAGTCGCCACGTTAAATTAGTGACACGTTCGTTTTCATATTCGGTTCTCATTTTTATTTAAAAAAAAAAAAAAAAATTACGAAATTAAAGGAAATTTTTTTTGTCTTTAATTACACGTGTATAGACAAAGCGTGTTAATTACACGTCACGCGAATTGTTTTTTTGCTTCCAAAACGCATCTCTCTCTCTCTCTCTCTATTATTCGCTCGCGTATGAATTGTTTTTCGTGTAATTAATAACGAAAGAAGAAGAAGAAGAAAACGTTACATAATTCAAAATGGCGGTTTGATAAAAAAAAAAATTATTTTTTAACGGTTTTCGATTATCGTTTTAAAATTCTTTTGACACGTTTTCTTTTGACAAAAATTTCCTATTGAAATCTTTTCACCGTAATTTGATCGGGGGAAAAATTTTAAAAGTGGCACGAGATGGATTTCGCGTACGCGATTCTCCGCCCACTTTTATTCTCTACACGGAAACGAGATAAATAATAATAAAAATTTCCACGACGGAAATCGATATACGAACGAACTCAAACCTGAAATTTTAATTTTATGTAATCAAGAGTCTCTTCTGCTTTATCATGAAAGCAAATGGCGGATATATTTTCTCACCGCCTTCTATTAACGAACGAAATAAAAAATTTAATAATGAGGTTTTGAGTTTAAGATGGCGGATATCGAAGCGTTAACGGTTGGAAATTTCCCGATTAAAAAAAAACCGTTGAAAAATTTTCTTTTCTTCTACCACGATAAAAAAAAAAAACGTTTCGTTCGCAAACCGAAGTTTAAAAAAATTAAAAAATAAAAATGAAAACTTACGTTTTGGCTAAATTAATTGATATGTCGAGAAGCAATTCACCGACTTCGGCAACTTCTTCCGGTTTCCATTCGGCTTTGGGTTGAGACAAATCTAAAATAGAAAATAATAATAATAATAATAATCATCAAGTTAAAACTTTAAGAAAAAATTTTCACAAACGGAAAACAGATTTAAAGGGGAAAAGAAAATTTTTTATCGTGGCATTAGATATAAGTCACCTTCGAGTACATCGAACAACCGAAAGGTTTGTTTCTTTTTCTTTTTTGAAACCTTTTTATAAAATTAATTTTTGTTTGTATTCAGAACAAAAAAAAAAAAAAAAAAAATCGCAGATAATTACAATTGATTTTTTTCTAAAGTCACGGTCGGCCATTTTTAATTTGTTGTAGTAATAACTAATTTAAAAAAAATATACGATAATCGTTAAATTAAAAAAAAAAAAAAATGAGGATAATGGCTAATCCTTTTTTTAAAAATATATATACATAAATACATAATTTGTATATATTTTGTAACAAACAATAAAAACTACAAATAATAATAATAATACTTCGCGTTGAGCAATATAAACAAAAAAAAAACGTGACAATAGATTTACGCTTGCGCATCTCGACTACCAAAAAAAAAAAAACTTTGTAATTATCACACACACAGAAAAAATTTATTAAATACGGTAATAATAATAATGATTAATTATTAATTTTAAGCGGTGGCGTTAAATGATTAAATGATTAATCAATCTCCTGCCACGATCGTGCGTAAACACACACACATTTGTCGCTAAAAAAATCCCCGCGCGTTAATTAAACTTTTAAAAGGTTAAATTTTTTTTTTTTTTTTTTAAATTTCGATCGTTCCACGTTTTTTTATTAAAGTGGCAGCAGAAATCAACAATCGATTACTAAAAAATTTTTTTCTTTTTTTAATGATTTACAACCGTCGAATGGGTCAAATTCGACGATTGCGTTTTTTTTTAATTTTTTTTTTAATTAACAGCGAATAAATTTTTTGCCGTCGGGAAAATAAGAAAAAAAATTTCTAAATTTACGAAAGACAGAGAAAAAGAGAGAGAGAGAGAGAGAGAGAGAGGGAGAGACAATCAAACAACAAACGAAAAGAAACAAACAAGTTTTCGGTTTCGTTTTCGTTTCTTTACGTAATTTCGTGTCTCGAAATTATGAAATATAAAAAAAAAAAAAAAAAAAAATTTAAAAGAATAAAATAAAATTATTTAATATTTAATACAGAGTTTTTTTTTTTTTTTTCGCAAAGTGAAATTTAAAAGTTGTTAATTACACGCGCGTCAATTTTCCCTCTCTAACTAATTACACGAAAGAATGATAATAATAATAAGAACCGAAAGTAACGCGTCGTATTTGTGTATAGTCATCATATCTTAAATTAAATACGTATCCATATTTATTATTTACAAAAAAAAAAAAAGTGGCATTAGAATTGATAATAATAATAATAATAAGTTTTACTTGTAATTATGCGAACGGGCGGGAGGGGGGAGGTATGGTGTAATCGATTGTCGTCTCGTGTAACAATTTGGCGAAAATCCCGGAGGCTCGGTAATAAAAAAAAAAAAAAAAAAATTTACTGCCAAAGTTTTTTCTTTTTTTCCCCGCCATCGTGGCCTTCGATTTATCCGATTAAAATTTTCTTTTTGTTTCACGACAAACAACAAACAAACGACAATTTAATGACCGCCGCCGCTGTCCGGATAAATAAATAAATTTAATAATAAAATGATTAATAAATTTTTTTGTTTCAAGGTTGTCAAAGAGTAACGTAATAACGATAATTTCGAACGTGAAATGGCGGGAAATTGTTGGTCGTGTCACCAAGTGAGCGCACTGCACTCGACGCAGCAGCAGACGACGTGACGTAATAACGAACGTAATTTAAAAACAAACAAAATGGATGACACACACAACACACATACACGCTCTCGTCGTTAAAATTGAAACGAATAAAAAAAAAAATCGTGCAATTTAATAATAATCGGATCGTGGTCACTGTCACAAAACGTGTCTTTAGAAAAATTTCCGTTACGTTCAAAAAAAGAAAAAAAAATTAATAATAATGAAACCGTGATTAATATATTATGGAAAAAAAAAAATTAATTTATTTTTATTGATTTTTCGTTATTTGTGAAGGGCGGGAAATGGGGGGCGGGGGGTTGGCGGTAAGTGGAGAGGGGAAAACAAACGACTAAACTTTCCTTTGACGGTAAATTTTATTATCGAAAGAAAAAAACGTTGAAAGAAAGGGGGACGAAAAAATGCGGAAATTTTCCACAAAAAAAGGTGTTTCCCACGTTTTTCCAAAACTTTGCACGACAACAACAACTTACCCCTTTCCTTCCCTCCCTCCTCGCCCCCCGTAAAATGATTTTCCCCAGCTGTGTGTTAATATTAATAAAAATTTGTCGAGTCATAAAATTTAATTCGGTTTTAAAAAATTTTTTCCATACGTTTTTATTATTAGCAAAATTTTAATTATGCCCCCCCCCCCTCCCGCGGTGATGGTGCCATCTTTCGGATTTTGCAAAAAAAATTTTTAACCTTTTTCCGCGTTACCATGACAACCGGAAAAATTTCGTAAACACGTTTTCCCTTTCCCCCCGTGTTGCCATAACGTAACAAAGTAACTTTTTAACGGTTTTTCATAAACGTTAATCATTCGATGACCAACCGTCATCTCCCCCATTTTCTTTTTTTGTCTTTAAAAAGAAAGAAACAACTTTCACTTTATAATAATAATAATAATAATAATTATTATTATTATTATTACAAAAAAAAGTAACGATTTTCGTTTATTGATTTATCGAAAGGGAGAAAAAAAAAAAAAAAAGAAAAAAAATTTCCCGACGCGATGGATTTTTTACCGCCATTAAAAAAAAACGTTGGAAAGAGAGAGAGAGAGAGAGAAAAAAAAGAAGGAAATTTCGATTTCGATATAGTTCGATCTATCGATTCATATAATCGATTTTGAAAACACTCTCTCGCGTTACATTAATTCTCAAAACGAGTTTTCTCGCGTTGTGAAAAATTTTCACTTTTATAACCGTTTTTTCTTTTTTTCTTCGAGTCATTTGAATTAATAATATATATTTAACGATTCATTTTTTATTTATAATAAATAAATAAATAAATAAATTATTATTATTATTATTATTATTATTATTATTATTATTATTATTATTATTATTACATTCAATATTAATGAATCAAATAGCAATGATGATGATGATGATGTACGTAAAAAAAAAAAAAAATAATAATAATAAGAAATTTCACCGCGTTCCCCTTTTTTTTTTTTTGTGTGTGTCACCAACGGGATTTTTTTTTTTTTTTTAAATCAAATTAATTAATAAACGACCATCCGGTAATTAACATAATAACCAGGGGGGAAGGAGAGGGGAGAGTAGTGAAAAGGACATTTAAAAAGTCACCAGAAACATTATTATTATTATTATTATTATTACGACCAACAAATTTTAAACGTTTTCCTGTGCGTTCTCCCCATCGATTGGATTCATCGAATTCGATTTTTTTTTTTTTTAATTTAAAATTTTTTTTCTAGAACATTCTCAACTTTTATTGTTAACGACTTCTGCCACCACGACGACTACTACTACTACCACTACCACCCTCGATCGTCGGAAATGGTTTTTTTTTTCTTTCTATATTTTGAACTCTTCGGTGGAACGTTCACGTTTCTTAATTGCATGAAGATTAAATCGTTTGATGTTGCACAAAAGACGTGGCGTTCGATAGATCGATCGATTCGATTCGATTCGACCGCCGGAAATTCGCCTTAACGGAAAAATAAACAAAAAAAAAATTTTTTTTTAACCATCCGAAAACCTAATACACTGCCCTTACTGACGAACGCTTTTTTTTCTCTCTCTCTCTTCCTTTATATTCCATTACCTCTCGCTCTCTCTCTCTCTTAATTTATTTCTCATCACCCTTTCTTTCTTTTTCTCTCTCTTTCTCTCTCTCTCTCTCTTTCATTCAATCTCGCCCAATTATCCCATCACCTTTCTTTTATTACTTTTGTTTCGCCAATAAAAAAAAAAAACATTCTAATTTAATAAAGGTCCTAATTGAAATTCAACGCGAAATCAAATGATAATAATAATAATAATAATAATAATAATAATAATGATGATGATGATGATAATTAATACGATTACGAAGCGACCGTTAAGGAATTTATTTTATTTCTTTTACCTTTTTTTTTCTTTTTTTTTTCATTTTCGACCGAATTACAAAAAAAAAAAAAAAAAATGGCGTTATGATGTAGAATATTCATTCACAGTTGAGTAAGTAACCTGAACGCGAAAAACTCGTAATAATAATAATAATAATAATAATAATAATAATAATAATAATAATAATAATGATGATGATGATAAAACATAACATTTCCTACGATGAGGATCAGTTTACTTACTAGTGTGTAGAGAATATCATGGATTACAAAAAAAAATAAAATAAAAAAACCTGATGATGATGATGATAATAATAATAAAATTACGAAAAAAAGGTTTCGCCATATTTTTAACGTGGAATGATATAAAAAAAAAAAAAAAAAAAATTTTTTTTAGAAAGGGCGCGAAGAAAGAAACCGCGTGAAAGTTTTTTACTTTATTTTTCGAGCTACCACAACGGTCAAATTTAAAAAAAAAAAAAAAAGCAGAAGACGTAAAAGTAAGCGTGTTCCGTGATGTTAAGGTCAGAGTTAAAAGAAAGAAAGAAAGGGAAGGAGGAGGAAGTGGAATAAAACGCGTATCACGTGGCAGCAGAATCTTTATAAACCAACCAACCCACCCACCCATCTATCCATTCTCTTAGTTTCGTTATTAATCCCCGAATTCTAATCCTTATCCCGACAAATCCCATAATCTCTTTTTTTTTCACGTGTACACGCGCACACGCGCACGCACACATTTCCTTTCACTCGTCAAAACAAACAACTCAACAATCCGACAGCTTTTCAAAACATTTTAATTATTATTATTCTTTTAAACGACCTCAAACGCATCGAATTTAATCAATGTCGAAAGTTAATAATTTTTTTTTTTTTTTTGAGTTATTTACATAACGATAATAATGATGATGATGATGATGATGATGATGATGGCGATAATGATAATAATAATAATAAATAAATAAAAGTGTAACAACCGGTTAAACCGGTTTTCACGTGTACTAGTAGTAGTTGTTGTTACATACACGTTAAAAAAAAAATATTACGTACAAATTTTTCTTTCTCCTTCCACGTTAACGCGTCCTTCTTTAAAACCGAACGTTAAAAAAAATAAAAAAAGATGAAAAAGATGAAGAAGAGCAAAAACGAACACAGGAAATGGAAATGGAAAAAAAAAAATTTTTGATACGATTTTATATTACGTGCGTGCGTGCGCCATTTAAAAAAAGAAAACCGAAATCGCATTTCCGGTTACGGAGAATTTTTTTTCTTTGAATGACACGCACGTAGTTTCGATTTCGAAAACGATTCGATTTTTTTTTTTTGGCGGCGGCGGCGGCGGCGACGGCGGTATTAATTATTAATCAAATCGTCTCGAACGAGTTTCGAGTTTTTTTTTTCTTCTAACGTTTAATTTCCGACTAAACGATTATTCGCGATTTTAATCCATAGAGTAAAAAAAAAAAAAAGTTTTTTTTCGTGACGTAATTTTTCATCATTTCGTTATATCATCATTTAAAAAATTCGATAAATCGCTTCATCCATTCATTTTACAATGTAATAATAATAATAATAATAATAATAATAATAATAATAATAATAATAATAATAATCATTTAGTATTAAATTTTTTTTATGTAGTAATAATAATAATAATAAAGAAAAAGAAAAAAAAATTGTAATAAACAATAACGCCGCGCGTTTTTTTTCTTCCCCCTTTTCTTAAATTTATTTCTAAACAAAAAAAATGAGAGAAGAATTTTCACTTCCGCGTATTCGAGATAAAATTATCGATTTGAAAATAATAATAATAATAATAATAATAACAATAATAAAACATCTTTCAAAAGTATTTGCAACGTTGCAATCGTTATCGACGGCGCGAAAAAAATTTTTGAATACTAAATTTCAAAAAAATCAAACGTTTCGATTCGATTTCTTTTCGATATCAAAATTTTCTAATTACACGACGTTTTAAAATGTATAGAAAATAAATAAATAAATAAATAAACTTACGAATTCTTTTCCTGGCTTGAAGATATGCTTGATTAACGGCTTCGTATGTGATACACGTGTGCGGTCCATCGTAACCGCTAAAAAAACAAAATAAAAATCAATAAAATCAATAATTATCTATCTATCGATTAATTAATTCGAAACGAGAAAATTTTTAAAAATATCTTTGTCAATTTTCGTTTCATAATTTCGTATTGAAAATTACAAAAAAAAAAAAAAAAAAATTCCATCTTCTTCTTCTTCTTCTTGTTACAAACGAGTTAATGACGACAAGTTTTTTTCTTTTTCTTTCTTTCTTTCTTTCTGTATTTCTATCTTTCTTCATTTCTTTCTTAATCGAATAAAATTAAAATTATTTTTTTATTTCGTGAGCGAAATCATCAGTCAGCGTCTTCCTATTATTATTATTATTATACAATTACGCCTTCGAGACGTGAAAGGATGAATAATAAAAAAAAAAAAAAAAAAACCAGCTCGTGGCATAAATCAAATGTTTAAATACTCTATGAAATGATGAAATGTTTTTTTTTTTTTTTTAAATGTAATGCTATACGCTGCCATCGCGGAAGAGATGAATTTTAATATTGTTTTACTATCTCTATGACTTTTTTTTTTTTTATAACATGATACTCACAAAGTTCCACGAAGAGCGTTATATTGATAATCAAAAGCGCTGCTCCTTCCAGGACCGTCCAATATTAAGGCACATTCACCATCCGTGTGAATTTCCAACGGTTGGTATTGATAAGATGGACAATTTAATAGTGCGACTAATAAAATCCACACCACACCTCTGAAACAAACGGAAAACACATTAATTATTATTATTATTTAAATATTTCGGTATCGGAACAAATCATAAAGTAAATAAATTAAAACCCACGCTTCAATCATCACATTTGATCGTTTATTTTTTTCAATTTTTCCTTTTCTCCAAATTTATTTACTCTATGACGCGTAATAATTAATATCGCATGATTTCCACCCTCCCTTTAACCCAAGAAAAAATTTTTATAACCCAGTGTGACCAACTGAGTAAAGATAAGAAAAAAAAATTATTGCTTCGTCATAGAGTAAAAAAACTCGCAACGTGGCACGAGTGTAAATTTTTTTTTTTTTTTTTTTATTTACTATGAAATACAAAATGATTTTAATAATAATAAAACGAAAATGAAACATGTGCGTGAGATTTTAATATCGAACGTGGCAATAGACAATTTCTAATAAAAAAAATCATGCCATTTAAAAAAAAAAAAAAACAGAAAGTTTTGATTAATTTCAATTATTATTATTAATAATTAAAATTCTTTCGCACGATGTGGAAATTTACTAAAAAAAAAACGACTTTACCAATCCTACCAACGTCAAAAAAAAAAAAAAAAAAAAAAAATTAAAAAGTTGCAAACTTTTACGGAGACGACCGTGGATCGAAAGGTTACCGGAAATCCTGACCGAATATTAAAAAAAAAAAAAAAAATTCGTTTTTGGAAGGGAAAGTGTGTTTAAATTAAATAAATAAATAAATAATTTCTTTCCATCATGTCCGTCCGTCCGTTCGTTCGATACATAAAAACGAGGTCAAATAAAATCGATTTATCGGAAATGAACGATAAATTATTATCATTATTATTATTATTAATAATTTTCATAATGAAATCGTTGCAAACATCGATTGCGAATATTTAATTATTATTATTATTATTATCATTGTTAAAGATTTCTCCGATATTTAATTAAATTTCACAACGTGTATCTCTCCATACATGAAAAATATTTATTACTATTACGTCATTTCCGATCATCTCGAACAACAACAACAACAAACTACTTTATACGAGTAAAAGTTGACGACCGTAAGGAATTATTAATTTATTTTCCTTTTCCTTTTCTTCTACCCTTATCCTAATTCTCTCTCTCTCTCTCTCTCTCTCATCGTTTAATGTTGCATCGTCTGCTAGTTAGATTGATATTCATTTTGCTAAAACCGTGACGATGTTTTTTCTAATCTCATTTTCTAATTGAGCGAACAAACAAACAAACAAACGAACAAACAAATCCAACATTTTGTTTTTTCTTTCCCCCCTCCCCCCTTCTCGTCAAGGATATCTTGTTTCCATTTTAAAAAAATAGTCGTCGGCGGCCACGACGGCAATACTTTCTAAATTATTGGCAATATATATGGGAAGCGGAAGTGCACGGGGAGAGAAAGAGAGAAAAAGAGAGAGAGAGAGAGAGAAGAAAACTAACCCTAAAAAAACGTGAAAAGTTGAATAATGTCCATTTTTTTTTTTCATAAAGAAAAGAGAAGTAAAAATATTACGATGATGATGATGATGATGATAACAAACGAAAAGATCAAAATGTCAAAGGTTAAAGATTTAAAAAAAAAATAATAATAAATATATATATAGGAAAAATATGCAAAAAAGAAAGAAAGAGAAAGAGTGTGAGAGAGAGAGAGAAATTAAATTAAGAGAGAAATTTTTATATATTTTGTATTCATTTTTCCTATTAATAAATAAAAATAAATAATAATAATAATAATAAAGTAAAAAGTTAATAACGTAATTAACCGATAAATAAATAAATAAATTTATCGTTGATTCGATTATTATTATTATTGTTATTATTAAACTTTCGGAAAACGATTCACCGGAAATGAATGATTCGTTAACCCTCGCGTTATTCGATTCTTAGTTTTAAATTCTAACCCTGAGGGGAGGAGAAAAGCGCGGGAACATTCGTTCAAATGTCAAATCCGATTTTTTTTTTTTTTTAAGTTGGTAACGCGACAGGTAGCGTATTAATTTCGGTCACGGTATCGAATTGCGTTTTTTTTAACGTTTGACAGGTCGATGGTTACACGGTGATTAAATACAAACTCTTTGCCCCAATTCTCTCTCTCTCTCTTTTCCTCTCTTTCTCTCTCTTTTCCTCTCTTTCCCTCACATTTCATCATTATCCTTTTGGTATTGAAAAAAATTTTCTTTTTTTTTTTTTTTTAATCGACCTTGACAATGAAGAACAAAACGGAAACGCGATCGTCAACCGTATCATCGCCATTTTTTTTAAACCGCCATTTTTAAATATTTTTCCAAACGGAAAAAAACATTTTCACTTACTCTATGACTTTAATAATTACACGTCAAACAAACATTTTACGATTTTAAATAATAACAATAATGATAACGATAACGATAATAAACGAGAGCAATTACGAAAGTTTCATTTGGTCAATCAATCAATCACTCAATCAATCAATCAATCACTCAAACTTTTTATTTTGGTATTTTTTTAATTGGTTAAAAAAATGGTAATTTAAAAAATTACTCAACGGAATTTTACAGAAAAAAAAAATAAAAATTATTTCTAAAACCATAAATAGAAAACCGAAATTATTTTTTTAAACGTGTCACGTGCCACGACCCGAATCGAACAATTTTTTTTTTTGCCCAAAAACTTTTCCGTGATTAATGAGATTCTTCTGGATACACGTACTAAATATGACAAATTTCATTAAAATGTTTCCTGCCACTTTTTTTCTTTCTCCAAGGTCGAAACAAACAAACAAACAAACGAAAACAAACATTTTTGTAGGAATTTCAACACGAACCAAAATTCAACCGATTCGTAATTACGTACGGAAATTAAATTTTCCCACCCCTTCCCCTTCCCACTCACGGGAGGAAGGAAAAGGACTCGTTATCCTCAAACAAAAATTAAACCATTTTTTTTTTTTATAGGTCATCAACTCCTGCCACGTCATCATCGAAGTGTTTAATAAATAAATAAATAATTTCATAACGATATTTTGTTGTTGTTGTTGTATTGTTTTTCGAATGAATGAGAAAAATAAAAGGTAAAAAAAAAAAAGAAAATTTTTTCATCTCTCTCTCTCTCCCTTTAACAATAAAAGAGAGAGAGAGAGAGAGAGAGTTAAACGAACGAGAAAATTATTCGTAATTAAATCATTTACGTGTTTTCTCATTCGTTAAACTCTCAATCAAATAATTACATTATTATCGAAAGTTTAAAAATAGTATTATTATTATTATTAAGGGTTCCAATAGCAGACGACGTAACAACGATTTTTTCATTTTTTAAAAACAAACGAACAATAATAATTCAAGGTGTAAAAGAAAAAGAAAAATAAAAAAAATTAGCAAAAGATGGCGACCGACGGAAACGACCGGAGAGGTCAAACGGAAATTAAAAGAAAATGATTTGACCTTGAAAAAAAAAGGAATACGTCTTATAATGTGCATCGTCGTCATCGTCGTCTGCTCGTGGATCATTTCAAAAAAGAAAAAATCCCTTATAATTTAAATATTTACTAAAATTTCTTTTGATTCGTCAATTTTTCTTATTACGTCACTGCTCAACCCGTCGTCGACGTCATCATCCGTCATCGTCCATTTTCCCTTTTTACTTTCATAACATCTTTCATTCATTCATTCATTCGCGCGTTATCGATACATATTTTGCAAGCTGTAAAAAAAAAAGTGATAGGAACGTACAACCACCGAATTCACAGCAACAAACAAACAACAAACAAAAGCAGTCGAATCTCTCTTTTTTTTAGAATGATTCAAAAGAAAGAGGAAACAAATAAATTAAAAATTTTTTTTTTTTTTTATTTAATGGCAAAAGAGATGCTCTCCGAACAAAAAAAAAAAAAACAAGAGAAAGTAAATTAACAACAACAACAACAACAACAAACAAAATCAATTTCTAAAAAGCCTAAAATTTAAAAAGGGAAACAAGTTGAATTCGTAACGTAACGTAACGCTAAAAACAAGAAACATCTTCTTCCATAGAGAAAAAAAAAAAAAAATGGACGCCGAATCACGAAAAAAAAAAAAAAATTCCCTCGTTTTCTTCAGGGTCACGCGACGACGACGACAACAGACAAAACAATTCTCTCTCTCTCTCTCTCTCGCCCACGACGCGACAAATTTCCCGCGGAAAACCTTCACCTCGCGAGCGCGCACGCAAAAAAAATCAATATGTCGATGGGTGGGTGCGATTGTTATCGATACATCGATACATCGATCCATCTCCTGATAAATTAATCACGATGTGGGCGATGGCAATGATGATGATAATAATAACAGAACGTAGGTGAATCTCACTTCTTCCAAATTCAATCCTTTTCCCTCCCCCACCTCCCCTCCTCTCTCCCCTCTTTCTCCTTCTGACACGTTTTTTTCCCCCTATCATTCCTTACTTTACAAACCGTCATTGCTTTTGAGGCGTCAACCTTTTTTTTTTTTTACCAATACGTAACGCACGCCCATTATTATTATTGTTATTATTATATCAACGTACGAATGTTATTTCATGGCGATAACCCTTAAACCTTATAAACGCGATTAGTACGCGATTGATTTTGACAGAAGCTACTATTACTACTGCCACGATAAAAAAAAAAAAATGAAATGGAGACAATGTACACATTATTTAACCATTGTGCCGTCAATCAAATCAATTCACAATATACCTCATTCATCATCGTCATCGTCACCGACATCAATACTTTTCCTTTCCTTTATTTTATCTAATTCCACGACTTTTTCTAATAAACCGCCATCCATTTATATCGCGAACGGACGCAAAATCCCTTACGATCGTCGTTTACTCCCCTTTTTTCCTATAGGATTCGTTTGACCTTGAATTTATAACGGTATATTATTATTATTATTATGAAACCTCATTCGTTATTTTATTCGTACGGGTACATACATATATGCATATACCCGCGTATTTATGCAAACAAAAAAAAATTTTTTTTTTTTTTAAAATAATTAATTCGTTATTTTGAAAAATGAGAACAAACGAATCGGCATAACGTGATGACGTAACAAAAAACATTTTCTTTTCATTATTATTATTAT